GGGTGCCAGAGCAGCAATGGCTTTGGCCACTCGAAAGGCGAAGACATCGAGTTGTCGCAGCGGATAATCTACATAGTCGATGCCAGCCCGCGGGTATGATATCACTGGTTGCTGCGATGGTGGTAAAGATGCGCGGTGCCGGACGAGCTCGTCGACTGTCAAGGGCTCTCTGTCGGTTACTTCAGGACGGACTCTGTTGTCTGAAGTATGCCTTTCAGGAAGCGTTGTTGGAACAAGTGGTGAGGATAGCATGGCTGGTAGATGTTGAACGGGGAAGTCCAACAGAATGTGCAGTTGGCCTTTCGTACGACTTTGAGTACGAGAGGGGAGCAAAGTATATTTAAACCCATCTTGACCTAATACTGTATCTGCCGATGATCTTCAAATCCGAGAGTCGCAGGCTTGCATCCATGTCTTCCTGTGGTGCGAGTGCGGAAATGCTTGGTGCATCTCTCGGATTTATATCCGAGCGGAGATGAGCCATCGCATCTCGACAGTAAATCCGAGCACCGCTGACCGGAAAAGTCTTGCCAGTGCATCGCTTGCTTTATCCTACTGAGTAGCTTGTTTGATACGGCAATTAAAATGGCAAATATTACTGCCAGCTCACCATCGTCAGTAGACCAGCAAACTCGACTACTAGTGCCTCTGGAATAGGTCTTTCGATCTACTAATCTACAGACAAGAAGTCAAAATGTATTGAGAAGTAGAGTCCTGCAATAAGAAGCACGCAAAGATCCATCATTAGTACCGTAATCTCATTAACAAATGTCATGTATCGTCACTCTACATAAACAGTAAACAAAGGAATCCCCTAACAGTAGATCCTCACATACAAGCAGCTCAGAAAGGCATCGCAGAAGGGTCACTCATAAGATTCGAGAACGCCTGAAACGACGATCAGCAAGCATTCGATCTAGCACTGGAAACGAACAGCTGGAGTGGACATCTACTTACCCAGGAATCGAGCTGAGCCCACCAGATCGAGCCCTCAAGATTATCAAGAATACCAAAGTCCTCAGAATTTCCAACAGGCCCTTCCAGGAAATTCGGCGATTGGATACCGTTAGGTGCGGGCTGATGGACCGTCGCGTTGGTAAACATAGGGGCCGGTTGCTCGACACGCACCGGGTCTGCGTGTTCTTGACCCCCCATGAGAGTCTCTTTACCTCGTACGTGATTGCCGCGGAGAGTTCCATGAGAGTTTTCCAGACTCTCAGGTTGAATAGGTGTTCCAATCTGCCGATGTACTTCCCTTCTCAACTCCTCCAGGATGATACTATAGCGTCGGCTAGGGCAATTCTTTCGTGTAGCCTCGGCCAGATGTTGTTGGCAAGTCTCCCCAAGACCGAAGAGTGAATGAAGATAGCCGCTGTCTTCTACACTCCTAGGGGAAGCGGTGTCCGGATTCGAGGCGAGTCGATGTTGTTGAATGGTGTGAATATAGACCACGATGATGGCGCAGAAGCACACATAGTGCGTGAACCAGAATGACTGGATCAAGGTTCCCTGCTTCGCCAGGCTGTCCACTAATTTCATCACATCTTCAGCGGCGTGTATGCATTTGCGCACGTGGCTCGAGACCATCGGATGTGGAACAGATGGTCGACGACTCAGATCCGTGAAATCGTTCAACAGAAATGACCGGGTTGCATGGATCATCGCGTGTGAATATGCCAGCTGCAAAACCTGACTCTGCCTGCAAAGTGGCGGGATCAGACTCGTCGGTCGGACACTGTTGAACAAAGGTGGTGCAGTCTGTTTCCATTTCTCAAGATCCGAGGCAAGACGAGCAGCGGTCTCAAGAGGCGAATCTTGCGAATGAGGGTTGATAGTGTAAAGCTGTCGAGAGATTTCACCGAGTATACGTCCAAGTCTGCCAAGTAGAAGGCTTAGCTTCAGTTGCATGAAGGGATAACTTAAAATCAAATCGACGTACCTGTAGTGAAGTACGGACGCAATCATCATGCAATCTGGTGAACCTGTCCGGCGCCGCGGGTCTTCCTGCAATATGTCTTCGTCATTGATCTCATCCGGAAGTTCTTGGTCGGTATCTTCGTCATGCAGCAACCGCGGTCTCCCAAACATGACGCTGAGGTATTTGTCCAGCGTATAGGCGCTCCAAAAAATCCTTTTGCGGAGTTGTTGCTCCAGATACGAGTTGCTGTGCTTTGACATCTTCGCTGGCCATTTTCGATGCAATCCCAGAGCCGTCACCAGCTGGAGAGCCGTGCCGAAGGTATACCAGCACTCATTGGCCCGCGATGATGAAAGAAGGTAGAGACATTGACCTAGTCGTGATTGGACACTCTCTAATCGAGGAGGTCCAGATTCCATAGAAGAGGCCCATTTAGACGCCGCGTACCATCGTTCGCTGTTATCCCTTGAGTATTTGTAGACAAGAAGTGAGTCTGTAGATGCTCACCTTTCATTGCGAAATTCTCCTGGGTCGCCGGGCCTCTGTTCCTCATATAGAGTACCCACAGCGAAGATCATAAGGATGATGGCAGTCCGGGCTACCATAACGCCGGTAGGCGGGTTCGCGAAACAGATATCGTCTGCATAAACCTGCTTGAGCCACTCCTCCACACTTCCTCTGTGCAAGAAACGGTAAGTCACCATCGAAAAGTCAAAGTAAATGCCCACCAGCTCCAGAGCTTTCTCAAAAGGTGGCAACGTAAAGCCAGCCTCCCGGTAGTTCGAGTAAGGCTTATCCCCGAACTTGAAAACAGACGTATTCCTGGAAACAGATTCATCCTGCAGTTCGCCAGGGATAGCCGACGACTCATCCTGATGAAGGCGGCTCCAGACGCGATTCAAGAACGACACCCCAGACGCCGGCCCGAGATAATTACCCTCAAAGTCCGTGACAACCGGCTCCGGCGAATCCCGCAGCGACACCTCCGAACCAGCTCTACCATGCTGCGATCGCAAACCCACTGCAGTCCTGGGCGACTCTCTCGACGATCGCTGAGAGATCGAGCTCCGCGCAGTACGGGTACCACCCCGCACATGATCCTCATCCGCATAGTTCACCAGCGACGATGACGGCGGCGGCGCAGGCAGAGGATCTGGCGGCAGGCCTCGCGAGTACGCCGCATTGTACTCACAGCGGAGCGAAAGGCGGGTACATCTCATACACGGCAGCGTCCCCGTACAGCGCGTCTTCTTCTCTTTGCAGTAGTCGCATGCTCGTGTAATCTTCTGCCGTTGCACAGGGCCCTTGGTTGCTGGCGACGATGAGTCAGATGCCTTTCGCTTCCGCCCAGCGAGGTATGGGCCACCTGGGCTAATTCCGACGACGCTGTCATTTCCGGGCGAGAGGTGTGTATGTACCCCGTTCGTAAGAGAAGCCCTCATTGGTTCGGAAGGCGAGATGAGGGACATTGTGCAGGTCGCTTTTCTAGGCAGGAGACGGAGCGGTGGAGATTTCCAGTCCTACTGTCTTCTTTTCCTTTTTTTCCGCTGCCATCGTACAAGCATCAAAAGACAGACGGACGTTCGAAATGGGGATGAACGATGCTGACATGGGAGAAATTTCCGAGCGAGTTCGGAGGAGTGCCGAGCCCAACGGCAGAAGCTCCAGTCATCGTCTCTTTCTTGGGTCTTAGTGTCGTGGTCGAAGTTTGGAGACGTGCGGGGTTGGAGGGTACTCCGCAGATGCCACTGGCGAGAACCCGCATTTCAGTCACCATTCACTTCAAAGAGAGTCAACTGGTGATGTTGCGTCGTAATCATACGGGGATTATCGAGTTGCGCTGAATATCTCAATGCAGGTTGCTCAAGATCAGGTCTCCTAGTGAACACCCCGTCACGTGCTACTGAGTCGACGGCGAGTCTCCTGCGACGACAGCTTAAAGAACGCGAAAGAAGGGTTAACAGATCGATGGTAGAGAATCGAAGTCCACAGCAAAGTTCCGGTCTATGAGTAGGGTAACTAGCTACATCATCGCATCGAGTAAACGATAACTAGTGAAAGTACAATGGGAACCCCGAGAGCGAAGCGGGACTGGGTATGCCAAAAATGTTTGACCACATAGATGAGAACCAGAGAAAATATCCTGAGCTGTTCTGGACCGAGCAATGATGACCCGCTTCGTATATATCAATCAGCAGAATGACGCCAAACAACCGAGATCGCCCCACATTGCCTGAGACTAGCTCATGCACAACGCATACCCCGTACGCCAGGATGAAAGGAAAAGACCGTGAACCAACGTTCTCCAGGGTGAGCGAGAGGCCCTTGATAGAACTTCGTGCAGTCACGAGGGCTGCCAGGTAATGAATGTGGCTGTCACGTCGTCGACGACGCCCAATCATTGATAACCGTGATCGATCTGATGCTAGAATGGTGTTTTGAGCACGTGGACCAACGTGGCAGGACAGGTCGAACACGCGCAGCTCATTGAGGCAAAACCAGCCTGCACCTGTGCGCTGTCGACATTCAATAAACTGAAACACTCCCATCGCGGCGGTAGATGCCAACCTGCGTGGTTGGATCCAATTAAGGTCTGATCAACATGCATCCCTTGCGGCTTCAACTCCACAGTCGATGGCGTCGGCGAAAGGACAGATATGTTCTCACTGCTCACTGCTCCCAGTCGGTGGGGAACCGACGCGGGTGGGAAGAGGAAAGTAGTACTCAATCGGCCAGGAGTATGATAAATAATGAATCGATTGGGAGCAGGGAAAGGTAGCAAAAGGAAGTAAAAACAAGAATGTAGACAGGCTGAGGAAGCCAGTTGTTGGCAGTCTTAGCCTATATGGTTTTCCTGTTCCGGCTTGAGGCTAGAAGCATGTCAAGTGATGGTTCAGAGGCTAATGGCCATGTAGTCACCCTCTTCTTGCGCTAAACAAGATTGCGGTCCTAGTATTGGCTCCAAGAAAGAACACTGATTATGCAAAGCATTGGCACGGCGGTGGGAACAATGCTATAAAGCGATGGCACCTGCAGAAAGGCAGACCATCGTCGCGAACGGCCTACAGAACTGATTTTCAGATCATGCATCTTTATTCAGGATCGCACTCAGCCCACCATCGGGAGACGCTTCCGCAGATACGCCATCCGGCTCTTTCACAACGGGAGACGAGTTCCCAGATACGCCGTCTGGTTCTTTCGTCCGAACGGGGACTGTAATCTCATGGCCATCGGCCTCGTTTGTATGACTCAGTGATTGGGCGACGATCAAGTGTATCTTCTCGAGTGAGGCTCCCGACCGGATGACATTGATAATGGCGTCGACGTCTGTGCGCTTGCCGTGCCGAATGGCTGCCAGCAGCTGCTGCACAAATTGGCGATAGTACGCTAACTCCTCCTGGACGCGATCTCGCGCAACCTTACGACGTTTGTCGGCGTACTCGTCGATGATGCAATCTCGGCCGTGGAGGGCGCATTCGGAACATGGGGCACCGGTCGAGTTTGCACTACACTTTATGACGAGTAGAGAAAGCAGCATGTCAGAATGGTGTACTTTGAAAAAGGGGACATAAAAGAAGGGCGGATTCAAGATGCCGCGCATTCATTCACACCGAGATATTTGCGAAAGAGGGGACGTGCTTCGAAAGGGAAAGGTACCTTGGTCCGACGTCGTTGACACTCTGTGCAAGCTGTTGATGCTCTCCGTACCTTACTTTCCTCAGCGACAGGTCCCGCTGTTGGCGTATCTAACAAAGTTCTTGGAGCGATAGGGCGAAAAGGCCTAGAAGGCCCTTGTTGAGACATGGTCTGATGAGATAAGGAACAGAGATATGGGGGGAAAACAAGGAACCGGAAGAGGCGAGCTAAGGGAGGAAAGACCAGACTGGACTCCGGACAATGAGTTTTCTTCTGAACATAGTCCTTGACCGAGGGGGTGCGCCAAACCTCAAGTACTCAAACGGGCATACATGCTCTCTCTATCAGAAAAGCATTTGAAGAAAGGTAAGTCACCTGGAGCGCTAAGCCAGGTTCGGCGATTCGATGCCTGCTTAATGCTTCAGGCAAACTGGGCCAGCGGTTCCCAGCCTCAGCAGGAAGAGGTCGACACCCAAAATAATTAACTCGGCACAGTCCAATGGTCAGTAGAGGCATGCAGATCGGTAGTTAAGTGGGTAAGTGGGCAGAAGTGCAAGAATAATCTGGTCCAAAATGAGAGATTGGACTGCGCCGTCAACACCGATCAGTTTCCGGAACTGATCATCAACAATATGTCACAAGGAAATTAAAAGAAAAGAGGTCGAAAACGAAGCAGACTGTAGGGAGGTGGAGAAAGAGGATACAAAAAGAAAGATGAAGCTTTTAAATGGGATTGTGAGATTTGATACTTTTGCCTCATCCACGGGCCGTTCCCACTTTCCCGTGGGTCCTCCCGGCTTTCCAACTCTTCCAGGAGGTTGGGAAACCTTTTACTCCGTAGTTTTAGAGCCTAACAATGGTAAAGAATATGGTAGAGAGATTGTTTAAACCAAAAGACTCAAAAGGGAACGAGGATTGGATGATGACAACTGGTAAGCGGAAGGGCCCTTTAAGCAAGCGTGCCTAAGCGCCTTTCGGGTAGAAGATCCCTAATCTTTCAGACTCGAGAGAAAGGGAAGTGAATCTGGAGACAGTTGTCAAGAGTCGACAGTAGTGCTGGTCTTAGCCTCTTCCGGGCTTCCCTCGAGGAGCGATGCGGGTTTAAAGGATTAGCCCCAGATCTAAGGAGGCTGTCCCATCAATGAGAATGCTTGAAAAGCGCCGATGGAGCATTCAGCTTGGCCAGAACCAATGATCAGTGTCCCCAGTAATTGCCCTGAAGCGGAGCATCGAGGATCAGGTAGGGTGTCAGACTCTGATAGGCAGACAGGTACCCTCCAGCTAGGGCCATTGAGCAATCATGGTAAGATCAATCCGAGCGCCGGGGCCCTGCACGCAGAGCTGAAGACTCCGTATACTTATTTGCACCTCCATTCTCCCCCTCCAAAACCCCCACCTCCTCCTTGGCTGAATCCGCTGCTATTTTGCTTGAATCATCTGCGTGCAATGTTCGAAGGCCAGGAATCTCTCTTCGGCTGCGTGTCCTCTGAGGAATGCCGAATCTAGACGAATGTCCACGGGGTCATTTTATGCATTCCACTTCGGGTCGTCTACTTTGGTTGTAGCAGCAAATATCACACTGGTGATGTTATGACCATTGTGGGCGTCGAATTTTCGGCAATAGTTCCATAACTTTCCCTTATCGGAAAAAATATCCGTTCGATATGATAGGGTGTCGAAAGGAATATCCGTAGTTCGCAAGGCGGATGGTTTCAAGTTTGGGACGATAAAGAAACAATAACAACAATTATTGCGAGCCACGCCAGACGCGAGGGCTACCATCTTGATCAGAAAGGGGTTCTGCTTCGGTTGCATGATGGATCCACGATTACCTAGATATGCAGTGCTCCTGCGCGCATACCTTACACGAGCTTATCCAATCCCCGTCGGGATTTGAAGACGCACCGCAAATCCCCACGCATATCAGAACCACCAACCATGGTAGGCAACCAAGGACCAAGGCACCTCTGTACCGACCTATGAACTATGGTGGACTAGATACAGGATTCGAACAGGCGAATGCGCCATGCTGAGGTTATGGCTGGTTGATGCTGACGATGGTGACGTAGATCACCTTTGCGTTTTTTCTACAAGGTAATTCCATGACGCTCACGTGAAGTGTGGGCGCTGGCCATACGGACGACGTACCGCTTCTTCTGCCTTGCCCCCGCTTTCTGGCCTAAGGCGCCGAGAGTTGGTCTAAAGGAAGAGCCACCTACGTCGCCAGCCTGTCTCCATCAGCAATTCTACAAGATTCCACTCACAACGTCTGTACGAGGCACTCAGAAATTTCCCAAAACGATCGCTTACGTTCCCCCTGAACATGTGGACCGATGACCTGCCGAGGTAGTCAATCGGTCGGAAAAATAGGCTGTGGTCGTGAAAAGCTGATAATTTACCGGCTATTCTGGCATCGCCCATGTCCTCTTAGGCTGGTGCTGGAAAGGGTGATCAACGCCGCCAAGCACCCCAAGAAACTCTAACAATGTTGAATTGTGTGACTTGTGTCACCTGTAGGCGACTTCGAGTTTCAACAACCCGAGTTCGCCGATGTGGAACCTGGCAAGCCAGCCTCATAGGGGCTTTTCCCATATCTGGTTGCGGCTTGCGGAACCATGGCTAACGGTGCGCATTAATTATCCACAAGAACTAGGGAGGTATTATCCCTCAATGGAGAGTCTTGTGTGGAATAGATAAGGTATCCGCGATCGAAGCGACAGTCCATGCGGACCTGCGGCTGTGGCAAAATCCCCCACCTTTTCCAACGGATGCTGAATGATAAGACACAATCGTCCAATGATGGAATTGACAACGTGGTGTCCTTCGCTCGCTGGGACAGCTGCCAGTAGAGGCGAGGGAAGAATCCTCAGTGTGCTCTGCCCTGATATGTCTGGTTAATCATCGGTGGCAAATTTGTGTCTCCACGTCGCATCCAAGCGAAACCAAGCGAAAACAGAGGCGACGATCACGCCAGCCCACTGGCATATTCACACTTTGGAACTGACCTCGATGTGTCATTAGGGAATCCCTGGCTGCGACACCGGGCCTAGCAATAGCTCGGGAAATCAGTCGAATAACCGAGGAGCTCTGCAGCCACGAAAATTGTGGCTGCAGCTCGAATTCAGATCTGGCAAATGAGAACCTAGCAAGTAGTCTTGATCGAATGGATTGACAACCCACATGGGTGGTATGTGGGCTGTCCTTCTGGATGGGGCGCTGGCGCTTGGACACCACCGTCGGCCGTTGGTTCAACAACCCAAGGTTCGGATTAAGGGGTAACAGGACGACCGACATCCGAGGGCGGGTCAGACCATAGCTGCGAAGCCAGGCAAAGGGGTTGATACTCCTGAGCTCCTGTACACAGGTAGCTGTGTGTACTACATCAGGCCAGATGCTTCGAGAAAGACACGAGTAAATCCCGGGAAACCAAAAAATGAGCAAGGAGGACGTATTGATAGATTTACTGGCAGGGGAATCATGAAACTCGATACTGTACATGTAAAGCGCGATAAAAATACCCAAAAATGAACCAAAATGCTGGTAGTTCAACTCAAAGACCCATATACACTGCAGTCCATTGATAGATCATATACGGTGCAGTCCCTTAGTAGACGGGTCTACCTTCGTCCCAACGGCGAAGTTCCCCCGGACTTCTGGGCGTCAATTGTTGTTGATCGACCGGAGGGCGGTTTCCCTCGCCCGATGGAGACGAGTAGGGCAGTTGGTGGTTACTCTCTCGTCGGGTAGCGCTGCTCTCGAGAACATTGCCGTGAACGCCGCCGATACCCCCAATCCATTCCCAGACCCGCGCAACATCTCCACCCCGGCCCTCGCGGACCGCAGCGCGAATGTTGGCATTGCCCTCAACTACATTACGAACACGCCTCCAGAGCTCTTCACGTCGCTTGCCATGAAGCTCGGAACGGAGGACGTCGTCACGCAACTGACCAATAGGAATATACGGTTCCCTCGCCTCACCGCGAGCATGTAGCGCTGCTTGTGTCGCTAGGCGATCTAGCGTGGTTGCTACCAGCTCTGGGACGCGAGCTAGATCGGACCGTCGAGCAAGAATTTTTGCTCGAGCGTAAACCGAACCCAGAACCATAATAATCAAAACTGAAAGAGGGAGTCGATATGCGAGGAGAGAGAGTCGGATGTGGCGGCGGAAGGCGCATGTGAGGGGGAGCCGTGCGATTGAGGTAGATGAGAGAACAAGGACATCGGAGGGTCTGTGATTGCGTTGCGGCCTCTGTTAGTTCCGGTAACCATGTCAGAACCGTGGTCATATGAAAGAGCTCTAGCATACAAATACTAAGCTGGGCACGAACGAGAGATCCAGAGAAAGAAAGAAAGCATGATATCAAGAGAAAAATCCAATAGGCAACTTACTGTTTTGTTTTGGTGACAACTTCATCCTTCGCAACAATCTCGCCGAGTGCTCCTTTCCAAAGCTCGTCGAATTCAGTATCACTCATGCCTCTACGGCGTTTCTGTGCAATCGCCTGTTTCAAATCCGGTTCGCTCATCTCTGGAGACGTCACTTCTTTACCATCCCCTAGAGGCGCTCCACATTCAAATTTAGCTCGTCGATCACGGAGCTCTTCAATCGCTTTGTCGGCAACGGCTTTCACCCGACGAGCTTTTTCACTGTCCGGTTCACATGTGGGGGGCAGAGGAATGAGACCTCCAAGCGATAGAGGATGCGGTTTCAGAATGAAGTCATGCTCACAGCTCGCCTCGAAGTTCGGGTAGCAGAACGCATGTGGAGGGCAGGGTTCACACTGCGGCTCCAATACACTGGCCCATTCGGGCACCCTGGTTTCTGCCAGGGACCAAGTAGGCTTGCCGATACCACAGTACCCGATCTCGATCTTCTCCTTGCGCCACCAACCGCCAAAACCCGAAAGCAAAGAGACGATGAGGATCCACGGAGCAGCTTTGCTTGCCGTACTCTGCTTGGCAGCTCGGCGTCCGATCCGTGGAGCCGTCGGATACATTAACTCCGCTTGTTGTCCCTCCAAGGCTAATTGCTCCTCGGGCGTAAATTCCTCGCCGGCACTTAGCCCACTTTCATCCTCGTCCTCGTCCATCTCAACTTCCTCTCTCGGTAAGACGAGAGATCCAAAGGGTGATCTTGTAGGCGTTCTAGAAATATCATCATCGAGGTC